AAAGCACTCCTGTCTGTGTATGAACACCAAGTTAATGTTGCCGAGGGGCAGACAGCAAACATCTTATTCCACCACGAGGCTCATGTCACTTCTCTGAAAACTGATTTGGGGCCAGTCTGCCTAGCAGTGTTGCTGGAGAGGTGAAAGGGAAGAATAGAGGGCCAGTCTTTACAAGGTTGGGCAGAAAAAAATCAATGGCAAGGGATGACTTCTGCAGCCATGGCCACTGCTGACCATTCAGCCACAGGTGGTCTGAAGAAAGGGATGAAGATTATCCTATGTAATAAAAGGCCAGCCACCATAAGCATAATGACCAGAACGACCAGAGACCAGAACCACCATGGCCTTTTGCCCAAGCAAGCAGTTAGGGGTGATCAGGCAGGCAGGCAGAGTAGTTAGGGGTGATCAGGTAGGCAGACCAGCAGTTAGGGTTGATCAGGTAGTCAGGCAAGTGGTTAGGGGTGATCAGGTAGGCAGGCGAGCAGTTAGGGGCAATTAAGGTAGGCAGATGGCCCCATCTCAGGGCTGGCCCTGCCCCCCAGCAAAGAAAGAGGGAAACCCAGGCCACCTGTGACGACTCTGTGGCAGGTGTGCAGCCAGCGAGCAATCGCCTGCAGAGGGAGGCCCCGGTCAGCCAAACCATCATACCCTACGCCTGTTACCTGCAGAGGAAGGCCACTGGTGGCGGGGGTGGGGGGGGGGAGCAGTGCTGCACAGATGGCAAGCAATGGCAGCAGCAGGGTGGGACCAGCTGCCTGCAGAGGAAGGAAACCCTGCTAGGCCCTGATCACAATCCAGGATCCTGGATCGTGAGAGGGTGCAGGCCAGGCTGAGTGAGGGACACGCCCCTCCCTCCGCCCCTCCAGTGCACAAATTTTCATGCATCAGGCCTCTAGTTTTTATATAACGTCCCAGGTTTTCAGTTGTGCTTCCTGGAAGAAGTAGGAAAAAATATACCAGCTCCATCTTCCTAGAATTGGTACTCTTGCATTCATTTTGGCTTTTTAAAAAAGTTGTATAAAAATATTATTTATTTTGATTCTGAGTTTTGGTCTCCTTATATTTGTCACCTCAGGCAACACCTCCTTCACCTCACTCTACTTCTGGCCCTGTTTGGAAGTCCTCTTAGAGTCTGGAATAATTTCTTAAATCAATCCAAAGTGAGGTAAGAAAGGAGAGCTAACACAGAACAATAAGACAAGTAGAAAACATAATAAATTTAACTCCAAATAAATTAGATGACATTAAAAATAATAGACTGGGGTGCTCTAATATTAACAGATCAAGGAAAAGAGGAAGATCCACAGAGATATCAAGGAAGGTCTGGTGAATTCCATGTTTTCAATAAAAATTAAAAATAAATTACAGGGAACTCATACAACTTAACAAAAGGAAGATAAACAATCCAATCAAAAATGGGCAACAGACACTTTTTGAAAGTGGACATTCAGAAAGCCAAATAAAGCATATGAAAATATGCTCTAAGTCTCTAATCATTTGAGAGATGCAAATCAAAACATCAATGAGGTATCATCTCACACTTGTCAGAGTGGCTATCATCAACAAATCAACAAGTGACAAGTGCTGGCGAGGATGCAGAGAAAAAGGAACCCTCCTTCACTGCTGGTGGGAATGCAGACTGGGGCAGCCATTGTGGAGAACAGTATGACATCTTTAACAGTGTCTGCAAGGCCCCCGAGGGTCTGTCCCTGCAACATTCTTTCAGTTCCTGCAATGCTACAATCTCCGTGCGCCTTGGCCAAGAGCACTCAGATTTCAGGTTGCTTCTTAGTCACTGGCTTCCTTAAGCCCCAGATTATATCGTTCTTCACATCTCATAACAATGAACTGTTCAAGATGTCTATCAGACCAAGTTCTGCAAGGCAGAAATATGCCTTGTTCACCAGGGGATTTCCCAGACCCTTAAGCAGTGCCTATCACAGCCTTGACGCTCAATTAATGTATTTAAATAAGGGTTACAATCCTGTTCAAACTCAGAGGATAGGTGGAGGTGGGTGGGTGGGAAGAGATTAACCAAAGAATTTGTATGCATATACACATAATCCATGAATATAGACAATAGGGTGGTAAAGGCCTGGGACAGGGGCGCAGGGAGGGGAGGGGGTAAAAGGGGTCAATGGGGGGGAAAGGAGACATATGTAATACTTTCTCTTTTTTTTGAATTTTTTAAAATTAAATTATTATCTATGTACATATCTTACCACTGTAATACTTTTTATTATTGTAATAATTACATATGTAACACAATAAAGATTAAAAATAAACAAACATGCCTGGCCAGTGTGGCTCAATGGTTGAACATGGATTTACGAACAAGGAGGTCTCTGCATATTGGTTGTGGGCTCAATCCCTTGCAGGGGTGGTGCAGGAGGCAGCCCACCAATGAGTCTCGCTCATTGATGTTTCTCTCCCTTCCTCTCTGAAATCAATAAAAATCTTCTCTAATAAAAGAGAAACATGCAAATTGACAATACCTTCGCTACACCAGCCAATCAGGGCGGATATGCAAAATAATCCAACCAAGAGGGCAGTTAATTTGCATATCCAGCCCCGAAGCGAAGACTGAAGACCGTATAGAAAGAAGCCAAGCACTGCAGAAGCTGGGCGGGGAGAAGGGAGAGAAGCTGGCGGGGCAGCGGAGACTGCAGCAGGAAGCCCTATTGCAGGAATCTCCCTGCAAGGGGCATCTAATTACATAAGGTAATCATATCATCCCGCTTTTTAACAATTTTCCCCGTGTCGCGGCGTTTTAAAAAAGTCCCGATTCTTTCCAAAAATCGAGACTTTTGTAAAACGCCGCGACACAGGGAAAATTGTTAAAAAGCGGGGCTGTCCCGCAAAAAGCGGGACAATCTGGTCACCTTAATCTAATATATAAATAAATCTGACAAAAAAAAAAAAACACACAAATAAACGCTACATTCACCTTTATATATAATTCCCATTCTCTTCTCTTTTTAGAGAAAAGAATAAATGTCAACGACCTCCTTTTCCTTAAAGACCATCCCACCGCTCTCCTTAATGGAGCCAGTCACGTGAGGCTAATGATGGGTCACAGGCCTCTAGGGATAGGGGTGGGGGTAAGGAGTAGAAGGTAGGGAGTAGGGGGTAGAGGATCGGGGGTAAGGGTAGAGGGTAGGGGGTAGGGATAGAGGGTAAGGGGGTAGGGGGTCAGGGGTAAGGTATAGAGGGTAAGGGGGTATAGGGTAGAGGGTAGGGGGTAGGGCTAGAGGGTAGGGATAGAGAATAGAGGGTAGGGGATCGGGGATGTAGAGGGTAGGGATAGATAGAGGGTAGGGATAGAGAATAAGGGTCGAGGGTAAGGGGTAGATGGTAGGGGGTAGGGATAGAGGGTAGAGGGTAGGGGGTCGAGGGTAAGGGGTAGAGGGTAGGGGGTAGGGCTAGAGGGTAGGGATAGAGAATAGAGGGTAGGGGGTCGGGGGTAAGGGGTAGAGGGTAGGGGGTAGGGCTAGAGGGTAGGGCTAGAGAATAGAGGGTAGGGGGTCGAGGGTAAGGGGTAGAGAGTAGGGGGTAGGGATAGAGGGTAGGGATAGAGTATAGAGGGTAGGGGGTCGGGGGTAAGGGGTAGAGGGTAGGGGGTAGGGATAGAGGGTAGGGATAGAGTATAGAGGGTAGGGGGTCGGGGGTAAGGGGTAGAGGGTAGGGGGTAGGGAGAGAGGGTAAAGGGTAGCGGGTCAGGGGTAAGGTATAGAGGGTAGGGGGGTATAGGGTAGGGAATAGGGTGTAAGGTGTGGACAGCTGTCGCAGCAGCACCACGTGCAAGTAACTGGACCAGCTCCCCGGTCCTGCACACACGCGCTGCCCGCCGGGCCCGGAGAGGGCGGGCACCGGGAGGCCGGTCCGCCGGCGGCCGGACGTGCTCGCGCCCGCCGCCGCCCGCGCCGCGGCCGCCGGGGCTCGCCGCTGCGGGCACGTGCGCCGCCGGACCGAGCGGCCGGAGCGGCGCGCCCTGGCGAGGCCATGGAGGGCGAGGCGCTGCTGAGGGGCGCGCACAGGTGCGGGGCGACGTCCGCCCGGGGCGGGGAGAGCCGCGCAGGGAAGGAGCGCCTCTGAGCCGCGGAGGAGGCGGGAGGACCCGCGCCGGGCGAGAGCTGGGTGAGGCGCGCCGACCGGGGCTGGAGGGCGGGGGCGGGCGGCGGGGTAAAGGCCGAGCCGCCGGCCCCGCGACTTCGCTCGGAGCCCGGGTGGGAGCGCGCACCCCTGGGGCCGGGCGGGGTGGGCGGTGACGGAGGACCCCTCCCCTCGGCACCGCCTGGCCCTGCCCCGGCCCGGCGCCCGCGGCCCCACTTCCTCCTGGCGCGCGCATGCGCGTCCCCGCCGAGCGCCCGGTCCCCACGGTTGGCCCCGCCCCCCCGCGGGCTGCGCTCCGAGGCGGCCGCGTCAGCCCAAGCCCCGACGCGGTGACGCAGCACGTCGACGTAAGTGACGCGCAGGCCCGGGCCGCTCCTCCTTCCTAGAGTGAGTGCCGGCCCGTTCCGGGCGGGGGAGACGAGGGAGGGCGGGGGAAGGAGAGGCGACCCGGGCGGGAGTCGTTGTGGGCCGCGGGCCGGACCGGGTCCCGGGGCGGCGGAGCCAGGGCCGGGCGGAAGGGCTGGGCGGCCGTTAGCGGGCGGCGGGGGGCGGCCGGCCTGACCTGCGCGCCGGGCGCCCGGCGCCTCCCGCGGCGGCGCCCACCCGGCTCCAGCTCGCGTCTCCCGGCTCCAATTAGGTCAGGCTCCCGAGCCGGGCGGCTGCTCCCCGGCCCCGGCGCGCGGCCGCCACCGGCTAGCCTTTCTCTCTTCTCTCGCCTTTCTCGCCTCTCGCCTTACCCTCCCCCCCCCACCCCCTCCACCTCCCGTTCCCGTTGCTGGGGTGTTGGTTTTTTTTTTTGTCTGCTGCTTTCGGGGTTCCGTGCCCCACAGCCCGAGCTCATGGGTGTACACGGCCATGCTCCTCTCTTGTAGAGCGACCCGCCGGCCATGGAGGCCGAAGAGACGATGGAATGCCTTCAGGAGTTTCCCGAGCATCACAAAATGATCCTGGACCGATTGAATGAACAGCGGGAGCAGGACCGGTTTACGGACATCACGCTGATTGTCGATGGTGGGTAGCGTGGTGGTGGGCTCCGGATTGGGGTGGGGCTTGGGCGGCCCTCTCACCTCCCTTTCCCCCCACCCACCCACCCCCACCCCCGGGCGGGCTCCCTGTCGGAGGCTGCGGTGCGCCCCGGGCGCTTGTCAGGGTCCGCTCCCACGGGCCCGGCTGCACAGGCGCGTTGGCGGGCAGGCGCGCTGCGGACACACTCGTGGCATCTGAACTTGCAAGAAGTTTTCCCATTGCACGCTCGAGTGCAGGATGATGGTGTGGGGACAGGGAGGATGTCTGTCTCTTAAGTGTTTGGTCCATAGTCTTTTCTGGATAAGCTGATTTTGAGGAGTTATCTCCCAGGAGCCAGGTGGCAGAAGGCTGAATTTTTTTTTAATTTTTTTTTTTTTAATAGTTTGCAGCAACCCCTTTCTCAGTCGTTGTAATGGAGGCAAGCACAGCTTGGGTGTCTTCAATTGAGTGAAAATAGGCTTCATCCACACGCGAGGCGTGCTGAAGTTTTTCCCATCGCAAACACCTGCAGCTTCCTGCTTGCTCTGTGGCTTTTTCCTCCTCCCTTCCCAAGTGATAGTAGCCTTTCGGGTGGTGTTTATGTTTAGTAATTTCAACCGAATAGGATATGCCTTTCGTTCTTTTAAGTGGTAGGAGGTTCCGACCTCCTGAAGTATTGTAAACTGGCCTTTATAAAACTGACTTATTACGGTCTCTGAGGTAAAGCTCTGGCTTTGTGTCTAATTGAGATTAAAATTTGTCAAGGTAGCTGCCAAGAATATTCTGATGCTAGTTCAGTAATGTATATGGTTTTATAGTTATACTAGAGGCCCGGTGCATGAAATTCATGTGGGGAGAGAGGGGGGAGGAGATCAGTCCCTTAGCCAGGCCTGCACCCTCTCACAATTCGGGACTGCTGGCTCCTAACCGCTCACCTGCCTGCCTGATCTCCCCTAACTGCTTGCCTGCCTGCCTGCCTCAGCCCCTGCTGCTGTGGCTTTGTCGGGAAAAGACTTTAAGTAATTTTCCAACTTGTGTTCTAGTTGTATGTTTGATTTTTGTGGATATGTCTGATTTTGTGTTTTTGTTTTTATCTAGGTCACCATTTTAAGGCCCACAAGGCTGTTTTGGCTGCTTGCAGTAAGTTCTTCTACAAATTCTTTCAGGAATTTACTCAGGAACCTTTGGTGGAAATAGAAGGTAAATGCTTGTTTTAAATAATACTGCTTAGCAGACCTTATAATTGATGACGTATAAACAGTTAATTGAGTGAGATACTAAGTTATCTGTGGTTGCTGTTAGGTGGCTGGATAGATTGTTCTTTTGATACCTGAGAATTCTTACTTTCAGTAAAGTGCTCAGTACAGTGATCTGCCAGGAAAAACTCCTGTGTTCGATGGCAGGTGTTGGTCTCTTAAAAGAGTCTTTTCCACTGCTAAAACCAACGGCCATTCACTGTCTTTTGGAAACATGTATTATTCCCATCTTTGTTCGGGAGTCTTATGTTTCAGGCTGGGGACACTGAAGGATTCTGTAGAAGCCTTTCTGAGTAGACGGCCTGCTTAGTGTGAAGTGGGCTGCCAGAGTGCGGCAAGGGTTATTTAGTTGCATTCAGAAGATGTTCCAGTGGCTGTAGAGGTCAGGGATGGAAAGGGTTATATACTAGATATTGTCTTACAATAATAAGTGATTCAAAATAAAATAAGTGATTGTTTTGTACTTGTTTGACTTTTCAGCAATAATGGCCCTCTACTGTTAGGGGTTGTGCTATGTAGTTTATGTGTATCTCCTGAGGTTCAGAACAGCAGTCCCTTGAAGTAAGTGGTATTTCCAATTATACATCAGGGTACAGGCTCCAAAGGTTTCTTGCCCAGCTAGCAAAGGAGTCACTATTCAAAACTAGGAAGTAAATGAGCTTGCCTACATAAGTACTAAATTTTAGCATCTTTTCAAGGCTCTTGAGTTTTGGTTTTATACCTCTTTCACAGTACCTCTTTGTTATGAATTAGTTGCCTAGAAACACTATTCCCTTGAAAAAATGTTTGCCTAAGGGAGTAAAAAAATTAAAGAGTTTAAGAATGTCCTTTTATTTTGATACCTTCTAGTTTATCTAGCATTCTAGCTGCTCTGTTGATGGGTAGATTATTTTCTGGTTAACTGTGATGGACAGAGAGCAGAGGCATAATGGAAATCCACAAAGTTTACTAAAGTGGGAATCCCGTGGCCTACATGGTATTGGTTTCTATTACAAGCTAAGGTTTCATGCATTTATTCACCTGAGGTACTGTGTGACCCCCAAGTTACTTTATCTCAATTGCATATTAGCCTCCTCATCTGAAAAGTGGGTTAATAGAGTTGATTAATTGAAATAATATGCCCAGTGCCTGGCATAGGGCTTAGTAGATTGTCAAAGCTTAATAAATTGGGGCTATTTGACAATTGAATACCCATTATGCTAGACCCATTAAATGAAGACTTGATGAATAAGACAACCTTTTTAAAATTTGCAAATTTAATCACGTATAAGCAATAGGTAAAGAACGGAGTGCAAGAAATGTTGCAGAGATATTTATTGTGAAATTAGTGGCCTGGTGCACGAAATTCATGCACATTAAAAGGAGATTAGTTAGAGGAAATAATTTTTTTTTCTTTTTCTTTTTTAATTTTATTTTTTTATTAAATTATTATCTGTGTATATAGGAAATAACTTAATATTGTTATTTGCCCTCTCTATAATACAAGTGTCAGAGATGAAAGAAAACTTAATGAAATGTATATGAAAACCTTCCTCCTGTCAGAGTCTAGGGCTCACCAGGGGACCCAGAGTCAAGTCCCTGCCCATCCACATGCACTTCAAAATCTCATGAGACCCAGACCAGGCTATCCCCCTTCATTGGGCTAGATCCAGACCCAGCCAGTCACACCTTTGTTAAGCCCTGCTGGGCAGGGGCATAGCCTCAGGTCCCCCAGCCCAGACTGGGGCCAGGGGCGCCTTGAGGTCCTCTGTCAAGCCTTGCCAGGTGGGGGACATGGCCTGAGATCCCCTGTCAAGCCACGCTGGGTGGGGACGTTGCCTCAGGCCTCCTGGCCTGGCACTGGAGCAGGGGGTGCGGCCTGAGGTCCCCTAGCCTGACATCGGGGTGGGGGTGGAGGCAGCCTGAGGTCCCCTGTCAAGCCCCACAGGGGTTGGGATGGTGTAACCTCAGGTCCCTGCTGATTACTCATGAAGGCTTCTTATGGGAACTTGGCCTCAGCTGTGGGTGCAGCCATTTTTATGATGGAGTGATGGTCAATTAGCATATTCCCTCTTTATTAGATAAGATGATGTCCCTGAGGAGGGAGAATGGGTGGTTTAGTCTACCTTAGAGAGATTGTAAAGAAAGTAAAATAAATCACCAGGCCAGATTATGGATTGTCAGTGCAACAAGGAGCACCGAACTATCTGGAGAAGTAGGGTTTTCTCTTTTGAAGACCAATCATCTTGGTTGTCTCTTGTATTTCTCAGTACCTCTGCCAGCTGTGTCCATTATGGTACAGCACACACAGCTTTCAGTGTTTAACTTAGATCAATAAAAAAGAAAATTTTTTGTTTGCCAGATTGAGGTTTAAATAATCAGTTTGGCCCTAGCCAGTTTGGCTCAGTGTATAGAGCATTGGCCTGGGGACTGAAGGGTTCCAGGTTCAGTTCTGGTCAAGGGTACATGCCTGGGTAGTGGTTCAATCCCCAGGAAACAACTGATCAATGATTCTCATCATTGATGTTTTTTTCTCTCTTTCTTTCTCTCTCCCCCCTTCTCCTTCTCTGAAATCAATTTTAAAAAAAAAATACATACATACATATATCCTACATAATAAAAGGGTAGTATGCAAATCAACCAAATGGTGGAACGACCGGTCGTTATGACATGCACTGACTGGTTGTTATGACATGCACTGACCGGCAGTGAGCAGATGCTCAACGAGGAGCTGCCCCCTGGTGGTCAGTGCACTTCCACAGGGGGAGTGCTGCTCTGCCACAAGCCAGGCTGATGGCTGGTGAGCGTAGTGGCAGTAATGGGAGCCTCCCCCACCTCCATAGCAGCACTAAGGAAGTCTGACTGTGGCTTGGGCCTGCTCCCTGCTAAGCCATCAGTTGGGCATCCCTCTGCTCCCAGACTGTTAAAGGTGCAGGCTGGGCCTCTAACATATATATAAAAGCCTAAGGAACTGTTTGACTGGTGGCTTTGACACGCACTGACCACCAGGGGGCAGACACTCAATGCACAGGCATAGAAACATGGAACAGACTGACTAATCTCAGAAGGGAAGCGAGAGGGCAGGAAGAGATGAACCAAAGATCTTATATACATACATACTAGAGGCCAGGTGCATGGATTTGTTCACTAATGGGGTCCCTTGGCCTGGCCTGTGCCTTTTTGCAATCCAGGACCCCTTGGGGGATGTCGGAGAGCCAGCTTCGGCCCAATCCCCACAGGTCAGGCTGAGGGAACCCACTGGTGCACGGATTCACCAGTGCACGAATCCGTACACTGGACCAGTTTCAGCCCAATCCCCGCAAGCCAGGCTGAGGGGTGCACAAATCCATGCATCTGGGGTCTCTAGTATATATAATATATAAAAGCCTAGGCGACTGTTCAACTGGTTGCTATGATGCGCACTGACCATCAGGGAGCAGAGCTCAATGCAGGAGCTACCCTCTGGTAGTCAGTGCACTCCCACAGCAACAGCATTGCTCAGCTGACCTACGGGAGCCAGATGCCGGGCTCACGGCTGGCAGGCACAGCTGTGACAGCACGAGCTTATCCCATAGACACTCCCCCTGCACACCTCTCCTTCATCTGGAACAGGACTGACTGGGCGCAAACCTGCGGCCACTTCTCGGTCATGGGCACCTGGTATTGCCCCGGGACAGGCAGAACAGCAGCCAGCCTACCAAGTGGAGCAGAAGCAGTGGAGCCAGGATGAGAGGGAGCGGTGTAGCATCCAGCCCAGGCTGCTTGGTGCACTACTATATTCCTCAGGGGATGTTGGATTGCCAGTTTTGGCCATATCCCCACAGGTCATGCCAAGGGATCCCACTAGTACTCAGATTGGGCCTCTAGTCCTTACTAATAAAATCCTAAGTGGTGCCCTCACACCGTCACAAGATGGCTGCGTACACAGTGAGCGTGCACAGGTGGGCAGGGCTGCGCTTGATGCTGCGTGCGTAGCATAGAGCCTGCCTGGGAGTCCTACCTCCGCCAGGCAAGGCTTGCCTGGAGGTCTCCTGACTGTGCAGCAAGGCCTGCCTGAGGGTCCCGCCTCCTCCCAGCTCTGAATGGCGAGGCCTGTCTGAGGGTCCTGGCTCTGTGCCGTAAGGCCTGCCTGGGGTCCAGGCCTCCTCCCAGCTCCATGTGCCTCTGGCCTACCTCTTTGGGGCAATCCATTGAGGAGCCCTGTGTGGGTGGGCGGGGCCTGCCTCTTTAGGGGGATTGATCACGGGGCACAGGCCAGGCTGGGGACCTCCCATCCCACCCAGAGTGCACAGATTTTGTGCATCGGGCCTCTAGTGCATATATATAAAAGAATCAATTTGGCTCAGTGTCTGATTATGTGAAAAAAAATTTTTTTTACTGATTTCAGAGAGGGAGAGGGAGAGTTAGAAACATCGGTGATGAAAGAGAATCATAGACTGGCTATCTCCAGCATGCTCCCTACTGGTGATCAAGTCCAAAACTTGGGTGTGTACCCAAAACCTGGACATGTGCCCTGACCAGGAATAAAACAGCTCATAGGTCAAAGCTCAACCACTGAGCCACATGATCCTGGTTCAGTGTCTTAAGTCATTAACTTTGGGATTGGGGTCCTATCTGCCTAGCTCACTTGGCTGTAGAAAACACTCCGGTTGTTTGTTTTTTTAATCTGAAAACATGTCAAGTAATTTTGGACCATGACATGGATATTTATTTATTTAAATTTTTGACATGGATATTTCAAATATTAGTCATCACACCCTCTGTGCTGTTAACATACTCTGGTGAATGCTTTTGTTGTTTTGGTTTCTTTTAGGAGGCAAGCAACCTGGTTAGGGTCAGACTGCCTTATGGGGGCTGTAGATCCAATTCCAATTTTATTTTCAGAACCTTTGTTGTGCTATTCACGTCGGGAGTGCCATCCGTGGTGGTGGTTCACTCCGTAGTGCAGTTGGCAGAGCTTTTGCTATGTCTCCACAGGTCAGTTCCTCATGCACAGCTTGGGGGTGAGTTGGAGGCTGCACACACAGCTCTGATTCCCCCCCCACGTTAGCTCCCAGCTTGTCCTTTTTCTGGTCCTCCAGCTAGAAAGGGGGCTTTATCTTCCTTGTGGTTGTCTACACCCACCATGGGATCTGCCTCTTAGACAAAGTGGTGTGAGAAAAGGGAGAGGGGAAAAAAGAGAAAAGGGGGAGGGAAAAACAGCAGGCATTCTCTTCATGTTCTTCACATATAATCTCTTCCTTAGATTTCTGTCAGAAAGCAGAACTTTCTCTTAGTCTAGGCCAGTGGTCGGCAAACCGTGGCTCATAAGCCACATGTGGCTCTTTGGCCCCTTGAGTGTTCTAATGCCACTTCTTCAAAATAGACTCGCCTAGGCCGAAAACCGGCTTCTGCACACGCGCCCACACATGGTATTTTGTGGAAGAGCCACACTCAAGGGGCCAAAGAGTCGCATGTGGCTCACTAGCCATGGTTTTCCGACCACTGGTCTAGGCGCTTACTTGGTGGTCACCAACCACAGGTGTGCAGCATCAACACTAGGGCTGGCCTTTCGGGAGACCTGAGATGGAACAGTAAAAACCAAGTATTTTTTCCACATGCATGCATGCAAGCTCTCCATTTTCTTTCCTGCTTCTCGCAGGCAGGCAGAGGCGGTTAGGGCGGGCAGGCAGGCAGGCCAGCTGGCAGGGGAACAGTTAAGAGCCAGTGGTCCGGATTTCGAGAGGGATGTCCAACTGCCAATTTAGGCCCAATCCAGTGGGATCGGGCCTAAACTGGCAGTCAGACATCCCCCAAGGGGTCCCAGATTGGAGTAGGTGCAGGCTGGGTTGAGGGGACCCCCACCTCGTGCACGACTTTTGTGCACTGGGCCTTTAGTTCTCATATAATAAAGAATAATGTGTTCAAAGACGGGGGGGAGAGGGTTGGGATAGTGAATCCAGTTACTTGAATTTCCTTATTTGGTAGCTTGTAACATGGTCAAATTACATTATATTTTGTGTTTCTCATTATTCAGGTTAGTCTTCTGTAGGAGCCACAGAAAGTCTTTGAGAAAGATCTTAAGGTAGTTGGATAGTTAGTGCTAGAACTTGGCTACGATAATATTGTACTGTTACTGAAAATTCTGCCAGAAAATAATCTTCAAAAGTGACAAGGACCAATCAAGTTCCAAATACTGGGCTTTTTTTTTCTTTACTAAATGTTAAAAGATTTGCATCAACATGAATACATTCTAATGCACATCTTCTTTACAGGTGTTAGTAAAATGGCTTTTAGTCACTTAATCGAGTTCACATATACAGCAAAGTTAATGATCCAAGGAGAAGAAGAAGCCAATGATGTGTGGAAAGCAGCAGAGTTCCTACAAATGCTGGAAGCTATCAAAGCTCTGGAAGTCAGGTAATTACTTGCCTCTTCAATGAGGCGCATTAGTAATATTCAGTCATGTTCACCATGTTAGGCAAGAAATTACTCTGTGTGTCTTGCCATATCAACTAATGTTTTCAAATTAAGAATATTTAAGGATTTATAAAATTCTGGATTCCAATTTGTTCTTTCCCTCTTACTTGATTTCTTGTCCTTATGTAAAAATGGCTAAGGTTAACTAAAGTGGCATCTTTTGCATTAGTAAGGAGTAGGTTGCTTTTAAGGAATTCTCTGTAAACTGTCCTATTGAATTAAAGTTGTTAATTTGTACCAAGTCTTATTCTAAAAAAGGTATGGCTTACAAAAATTAACATAGTACTCTTTAAAAGTGAGGAAATTAGTGAAATAAAATAGGCCAGGTATGGGTGATAATTAGTGAAGTCAGAAATATGGTGACCAAAGTGTATGCTTGTTAGTTGAACCAAATCTATTATAGCTTTGAGTTCTGAAACACCAAGTGTAAAGAAAAAGGAAAAACTACTCTGTCTTTCAGTATTCATGGTTATAATATGAGAACAAGTTAATTGCTTAGGAGTAATTCCTGGTATTAAAACACATAATTTCTCATAGGAAGTATTAAAACATTAACTGACATAATGAAGATTTCATCGTCTTCCACAATGAATGGTGGTGGTGTAATATAGTGAGTCAGAGCAAGCGCTCAGCAATATCTCAGCTCTGCCACCGTGTGTGTGGCTTTAATGAAGTTAGCCTCCTGTCAGCAGTGCAGTTCCTTATCTGTCAAATGAGGATGATGATGATACTTTCTGCATAGGATTTTTTGTGAGAGTTAAATGAATTGAATGCATGTAAAGTGCTTGGTCTGGTGTCTGGCACATAATACTTTAAGATGTAAATACTTGCCAAAGCTGGTTTGGCTCATTGGTAGAGCATCGGTCTGTGGACTGAAAGGTCCCAGGTTCGATTCTGGTCAAGGGCATGTACAATTGTTGCGGGCACATCCCCGGTGGGGGGTGTGCAAGAGGCAGCTGGTGGATGTTTCTCTCTCATCGATGTTTCTAGCTCTCTATCTCTTTCCCTTCCTCTCTGTAAAAAAATCAATAAAATATATATTTTTTTAAAAAAGATGTAAATACTTTCCTTGCTCTGTTCCTTATGATGATCCTCAGTGTAGGTCATTGGCATAACATTAAATGGCAATTTGGGCAAAATAATTTAGTCTAGTTCACTGGTGTGGTTTAGTCATAAGTTATAATTTAGAATAACTCCAAAAATACTAATTTATAAATAAAATTTCTTCTAATGAGCTTTGAATTAGTTTGATGACAGCTCAAGATTAAACCTTTCTGATCAGAGGGTAATATGTATATATCCTCTGATGCCTACTGTCTGGCACATGGGTATGCAGTAAATATTTGAATGGTTGGATGGATGCTTGCATACTGATTAAAACAGATCAGTACTCTCCTTTGGAGTACTAGGTAGCAAAATGGAAGTGAGTTGATTAGGTCATATCTTTTCAAAGTTGGGATAGACTAGAGGTATATACAGGGTGTCCCAAAAAACTGTATACTTTGAATAATTATTAATTTCAATGTGTTAAATCTGAAAAGAAACATCAATTGAGCTATCAGCTCAATGTGTGTATACATTTTGGGACACCCTATATATGGATGGGGCAATACCAAATTTGTGGTTAAAACTAGATGAGCATCTTCCTTAAGAAATGTGTGTCTGTGCGGTGCCTTTGCGGTAATGGCAGTGAGTAAAATCTCACTGCAGGAAAAGCCCTTGGCAGCAGAGCAGTGGGATGCATTCTAGGTTGGATTTGGGAGGCATTTACTTAGTTCTTGTGTGAGTCCTGGGAGGTGCCGGTAAGAACAACTGGGCACAGCCATTTTTCTAGTCCTGGTTAAGAACCTTTTAGAGGATTTACTTCAGACTCAGGTCCTTATAGTAATTACAATCATCAGTGTTTGTCAGTGTAAAACAGTAATGTGTGGAATTGTTTCTTGAACCAGTGAGGCATGCAGTATACTCCGAAGGTTTTTTTGAAAATAGGAAGATAACTATTACATATTTGGCTCTTTATAATAATAACATTTAAGAATAAAAATTAATTTTAGCTCTACCTGCGTGGCTCAGTGGTTGGGCATCAACCCATGAACCAGAAGTTCACATTGATTCCTGGTCAGGGCACATGCCCGGTTACCTGCTCAATCCCCAGCAGGGGGCATGCAGGAGGCAGCTGATCAATGATTCTCCCTCATCATTGATAGTTCTATCTCTCCCTCTCCCTTCCTCTCTGAAATCAATAAAAACGTTTTTTAAAGATAAGTAAAAATTAATTTATTGAGAAGAGATGAATGGATTAAGGTAGCTCTTTATTGAGAAGGTTATTATATAACTTTTTCAGATACAGAAGGTGTATAAGGTGTTCTTTTCACAGTTGTATGCAAGTATTTTTTAATGCTACTGAAAAAAATACCAGGACCTTATTTTGCTTCGTTGGAATTGCATCATTATTTAAATGAGAAGGTCCCTGTTCTTTGGTAGGAAACATTTGCCTTATAAATTTTTCCTCCCCAAACTGTTGAGGTATAATTTACATATAATCCACACATTTTGAGTATAGAGTTTAAATTTTGTTGGTTGTGTACAGTGATGTAACCACCCCACCACAGTTAAGACAAAGGAGCATGTCCATCACTCTAAGTGTTCTCAGGACTCTGCAGTGGACCTTGGCTCCCAGCCCCAGGCAACCACTGTGGTTTTATCTTGTTTAGAATGTCATATAAATGGACTCTTACATTGCGTAGTCCTTTGTGTTTGACCATTTTCACTTAGCATTATGTTTTAGAGATAATCCATGCTGTGGTATTACTGTTCCATTTTTTAAAATATATTTTATTAATTTTTACAGAGAAGAAGGGAGAGGGATAGAGAGTTAGAAACATTGATGAGAGAAAAACATCAATCAGCTGCCTCCTGCACACTCCCTATTGGGTATGTGCCTGCAACCAGGGTACACGCCCTTGATTAGAATCGAACCTGGGACCCTTGAGTCCGTAGGCTAACGCTCTATCTGCTGAGCCAAACCAGTTAGGGCACTGTTCCATTTTATTGCTCAGTTCTGTTCCAATTGTATGGATCTGCCACCTGTTGATGGACATTTAGGTTGTTTCTAGTTTTTAGCTTTTACAAAAAAAAGTGGCTGTGAATGTTCTTTCTGTACATTCTTTGGATATATGCTTTTATTTCTCTCAGTAAAGACCCAGGAATGAAATAACTAGGTTGTATGAAAGATGTGTTTAAATTTTTTAAAACACCAAAGTGTTTGCCATTTTACATCCCAGCCTGCAGGGTTGAGAATTTAGTTGCTAACACTTGATATGGTGAAGCCTTTTCATTTTAGCTGCCCTCATAGGTATACAGTGGCTTTAATTTGCATTTCCATAATGGCTAATGATGTCAAGCATTTTTTACCTGCTACTTTGCCATCTGTTTATCTTTTGTTGAGGTGTCTATTCACATCTTTCGCCCATTTTAAAAAATTGGGTTATTGGTAAGAGCAGTGAAGAGTCTGAGATTCATTCCTATTTGCAGGCTGAGTTTTACAGATGCTGCAGAAGACATGAGACTCCTGAGTCATGTTGAAGGGACTTTATTTCTCATAGTATAGCTTCATGTCTGTATCAAGTTTTCTTGCCCTGAGAGCCAAGTTCCGCAGGGTGACACAGTGACCTAGGTGTGTCTGGACTCCCGATGCTTGGTGTCACAGTTGAGGAATCTTATAGCGAGCTGCCAGCAAACTTGCCTGATCTTTGCCCAGAGGATCCGTTATCTTCAGTCCACTTGCCAGAGTGAACCTGCCCTCCTCTGGAGGAAGGCGAGCTCTGTCTTCTAAGACTATTTGCTGTACAAACAACCTTGAAAGGTGGTCCAGAACAAGAGGCTGCCAGCATGCTTGTTTACAGGACACGAGAAACATAAAAGGTCCATGAGAGATGTCTCCCGCAGTGCCCTCATTTCTATGTACTTCAGCTTCTGGTGAATTTTCCCGTGAGCATACCTCTCCCTGACCCCTCTGATTAATCTGACCAGTAGGAGCTGCTGCCTGATCCATTCATCTCTTCTCACACTGGGCTTAATGAAGACAACTACCAACAGAACTCCAAACAGCAGGATGTGGCCACCCTGCAGTGCTGAGCTTAACCAGGCCTCTTTCCCTAAGGTCCTGGACTCAGCCACCTGAATAGTCCCTACAAGCCAGGTGGCTTTCTCTTTACCGGGCTGTGAGCACATCTGCCCGCCCTCCTTCCCAGAGGGGATCTCTCTACGGGGCAGTAAGCTAAGCTTTCCTCTGCACCTGAGGGAGCCACTGTCTGTCTTCCCTGCAGCTGACTTTACTGCAAACATCCTTGATAAGATAGTCCAGGGCCACAGCCTTCAGTTCCTAAGATGTGCAGAAACAGACTTATGGAGCATCTTCTAATGTGTCTCCTACTGTGTTCATTAAGTTATGAGACTCTTTCCATCCTCCATACAAGTCCTTTGACAAATGTGTTTGCAGGTGTTCCTTGCCTTTCTCTTAACAGTGTAGTTCAAAGAGCACAAGTTTTTAATTTTCATGAAATCCATTTTGCCAATTTTTGCTATTGAGGTTTTTCCTTTTTGTGTGCTATTTAAGAAACTTTTTAATTTTTTGTGTGTATGATACAAGAACATGAGTCAGGCTTTTTTTATTATTGTTTTAAAATACAGTTTATTGATTTTTTTCAGTGAGAAAGGGAGAAGGATAGAGAGTTAGAAACATCAATGAGAGAGAAACATCAGCTGCCTCCTGCACACTTCCAATTGGGGATGTGCCCACAACCAAGGTACATGCCCTTGACTGGAATCGATCCTGGGACCTTTCAGTTTGCAGGCTGGCGCTCTATCCACTGAGCCAAATCGGTTAGGGCAAGTCAAGCTTATTTTAAGTCAGTTGGTAGGTGAATGTGGGTCTGTTTCTATTCCATTCATCTTCTGTGTCCTTTCACCAGTATCACTGGTCTTAACTTATTACAACTTTAAGTCTTGGAATCAGCTAGGATACACCCTCCAACTTTGTTTCTGCCTCTCCATATACATTTTATTACCAGCTTATCAGTTTTTAAATGAAAAAAAAAAAGCTTATACTAGGATTTTGATCTTATTTTTAAATTCATGCTTTATGTATTTCAGGAACAAAGAGAACTCCGCTCCACTAGAGGACAGTAGCACAGGAAAAAGTGAGGCCAAGAAAAGGAAGATTGCAGAAACTTCTAATGTTATCACTGAGTCGTTGCCATCCGTGGAATCAGAACCAGTTGAAATTGAGGTGGAGATTGCCGAAGGCACGATCGAGGTGGAAGACGAGGGCATGGAGACATTGGAGGACGTGGCTTCTGCCAAGCAGTCCATCAAGTACATTCAGAGCACAGGGTCCTCCGACGACTCGGCACTGGCACTGTTGGCAGACATTACCAGCAAGTACCGTCAAGGTGATAGGAAAGGGCAGCTTAACGAAGAAGGCTGTGCATCTGACCTCACAAGCAAACAGGTAGAAGGTATTGAAATTGTGGAACTTCAGCTGTCACATGTGAAGGACTTGTTCCATTGTGAGAAATGTAACCGTTCATTTAAATTGTTTTACCATTTTAAGGAGCACATGAAATCACACTCCACTGAGAGTTTCAAGTGTGAAATATGCAATAAAAGGTATCTTCGGGAGAGCGCGTGGAAACAGCACCTCAATTGTTACCACCTTGAGGAAGGTGGGGTCAGTAAGAAGCAAAGAACTGGGAAAAAAATTCACATATGTCAGTACTGTGAGAAACAGTTTGACCACTTTGGACATTTTAAAGAGCATCTTCGAAAACATACAGGTAATTAATTAGCACATACCTTATGTTAAAAGTCTATTTTCTCCAAATCACTTCAAGTCTAAATGTCTGTCCTTTTTTATTGGTACCATGGAAACTATCTCTCGTATCTTATAATATGCAGACTGTCTTTATAATAATAGTTTGTTGAAATATTGATGCTTTAAAAGCAAAAACAGTATTAACTTTGGAAGTGATCATCACTCTTGCATCTTGCCAATTTTTATATTTAAAAAATATGCAAATTATAATTTGTAATTATTTCTTAAGGGTCATAAATTATGAAATTTTACATATAGTGAAACTTCACTGTTACTCTTTTTGCATTTTCTGTCTTATGTTACCACATAACATAGATGAATGCACTTATAAACAACCCTGGGCGTGTTTGTGCCTTCACGACATCGGGTCCTCTGTTTTGGCCTGGCAGATAGACAGACACTACAGGTCCCTCTCCCTCCCACCTCTCCTTGGGCAAGCAGGGACATTATGCTGTGAGCCAGGCTTGAGGGAGAGTCCCAGGGAGCCTGCCTCCAACCCCTTTGCCTGTTTTTTCCCTGTGGATTCTCCAGCTTGTTCCCACTCCCCAGGTGTTCTTTGTTACATCTCCCCTGCCAGCACAGGAACTACCACCGATGGCTTCTACTTGGGGGGCAGCTGCTGCAGTGTACTGAGTGCCAGACGTCTGGACACTTGTTACCACATCCTCCTACGTGATGTTACACTGTTAACACACCGAATGCAGGACTGTATCCACACTGTTTCGAATCTTTCTCTTCGGTGCTGGAATTCAGACAACTTTGGATGAAATTTTTTTCATAGATCCTTCACTTTTCAGAATTGCTCGCTACTTGAAACTGAGAAACCTGATAGATTCAAATAATTTGGTTTTCCTCACTATTTAGATTCTTGGTGTTAATACTCAGAAACGGAATAAATGCAGATAGCAAGGGAATCTCTTACTTAAGGCTCAGTATAGATTTAAGAGGTGTTTCTCTTTTTCATTACAATTAACATTCTGTATTTTATATTAGTTTTAGGTGTGCAGCATAGTGGTTAGACATTTACATAATTTACAAAGCAACTCCCTCCCCAGTAAGTAATAGAACTCACTTGATAACATACGTAGTTAGTACAATATTATTGAGTAATAGAGGTCTCACGCACAAAGTTCATGCAAGAGTAGGCCTTAGCAGCCCCGGCTGCCTCACGACCCACCCCCACCCACTGGTATTTCCAGGTCGCTCTGCCGTCCAATCTGATTAGCATATTAGCTCTTTATTATGTAGGATGTTCCTTATGCTGTGTTTTACTTCCCTGTGACTATTTTGTAACTGCCAATGTGTACTTCTCAACCCCTTCACTTTTCTCACTCAGTCCCCCAGTCCCTAATTATTAGCTTGTTCTTTATCTATTTCTGTTTGTTTTTGTTTTTTTTAGATTCAACGCATGAGTGAAATCATATGGTATTTGTCTTTCTCTGTCTAACTTAATTTCATTTAGCATAATACCCTCTAGGTCCATCCATGTTGTTGCAAATGGTAAGATTTCATTCTTTATGGTCGAGCAATGCTCCATTGTATATGTGTACCACAGCTTTTTTATCCACTTTTTATTGATACGCACTTAGGTTGCTTCCATAGCTTGACTTGTAAATAATATTAGCCCCGTGTGTACTTGAAAAGAATGTATATTCTGCTTTGGGGTGAAATGCTCGAAAATATCAATTAAATCCATCTGGTCTAATGTGTCATTTAATGCTGCTGTTTCCTTGTTGATTTTTAGTCTGGAAGATCTATCAATTGATGTTAGTGGGTGTGGAAGTTTCCTAACTATGGCTGTGTTACTGTCGATCTCTCCCTTCATGTGCATCAAGATTTGCTTTATATGTGTCGGTGCTCCAATGTGGGTGCATACATGTTTACATACATGTTGTTTGGGGCCTTTTATCATTATGTAATCTCTTTGTCTCTTTTTATAGCCTTTGTTTTAAAATCTGTTTTGTCTAAGTATTGCTACTCACCTTTTTATTTTCATTTCCATGAAATATCTTTTTTATTTAAAAAAAATTTTTTTTTCAGTCTGTATGTGTTTTTGATCTTTGATGTAGAGCAAAAAGACCTTGTTGGATGTCTTTGTCTTTTGTTCACAATGATGTACAATAATTTATTTAACTTAAGTAGCTGTTACAAATTATAGAACCAGTTGCCCATTGGAGAAACAGTTTAAAGTTTGTGCATAAAGCAAACTGAACTCTGTTGCCTTTTTAACCTCAACTATTGCACTAATAGTGGCAAGATGTAGATGTGATCAGTGAGCTAGTGAATTCAGGAACAGTGCAAGTAAACAGGATTAATTGTGCTGATGTTCATAAAGAATAGATTTTTTTTTTTTTTCCTCTTAAGCCAAGTGTAAAAATAGGGGAACAATCCTTGTCCTGTTTTTTACCCTCAAAATATACATCATGCACTCCTCCCCCAGTTTCATATTTTGCATGTTTTTATTAGTTTAGTAATTTGGTTTCTTATATATTCTTAAAGTATGCACTGTACTCTATGACTTTGACTACTCATCCTCTGAATTATTTTGTTTCCATTCGGAAAATAGTAATGAAAATGCCAACCTGGTAGGTCATGGGAGTAACAGTGCAGCAGCAGACTAAGTGCTGGTGGGATAAGCCCAGAGTCGGTGGGAATGCCTGCCTGGCTCTGTCTATGACAGAGGAGACAAGGTGGCTTCATAGAGGCACGCCCTACGGTGACTCCCCGGGAACAGGAGTGAGCAGGAGAGGAGCATTCCAGCGTAACGAAATGAAGCCACGCAGGCACAGTGGGAAGTAAGGCAGCAGCTTGCTCCGAGCACTGGTAGCAGGGTGTTATGGCTCGAGGATTGGGTCCCAATGACGGGAAGCCAGGAGATGCAGCTGAACGTTAGGGCGGCGGACCCAGGGCAGCATGATGGTGTGCCAGTGAGTGGGAAAGAGGTAGTGATGGAGGTGAGGCTGAAGTCATGGAGGTATTTTCTGCTGTAAAGGAGCTCCGGCTCTCAGTTTAAAGAAGTGTAAGCCAGAAAGAGGTCTGTTCAGGTTAATGTTTTAGAGAGAGGCTTGCCTGGATGGGTGAGATGGGTGAAACCTACTAGGTCCAATTAGGAAGCTTTTGGAGTCAGTGGAACAAGAGTGAGGAGCTGAATACAGGCAGAAATGGTGGGCAAGGTGTGGGAGTGGACGTAAATAGGCGGAATCCACAGGATTGGTGCTGGGCTAGATGTGGGAGTGGACGGGGGGTGGCTCCAGCTTTGTGCTTTGGCTGTGTGATTGGAGGTCATTCACTCAGGAAAATGCAGAGCGTTAGCACTCCGGAGGGGAGGGGACATCAGCTCGGCACACCTTGGGACACAGTGTGAGAGACCCAGAGAAGACCCCTATCCGTGTTCCAGCGATGGTCTCCCACTTTCCTTGAGGTGGTGCATGGGCACAGGAAGGACGTGGGTCTGGGAGTCAGAACTAGATTCCTCTCCGGTCCCGGCCTTCGCCACTGGGAGGCCCTTGGCTGATCACTATCTCTGGGGCTCTCCTTGTCTCTGAAAATAAGGGTAACGATACCTACTTTCCAGGCTTGGGGCACTCTGACGGCTGTATCCCACACAGCCGAAGTATAATTAATCTGTTGCTATTTTTAGATGTGACTGGGCTTATTAGACCTGATGTTTTAAATACCAAAGCTCAGATGACCTGCTCTGTAAAGTGAACCTCTCTCCTACTTCAGTGGGTCTCTCTGGAAGTCACAGCTGCCATCCTTTTCTTACTTATCCTTCCAGGTACATTTTTTGCATTTTCAAGTCACCATAGAGAGACGCGCACGGAGCTTTTAAGCTTCTAAGGGAACAGGAGCATGTGGTAACGTGCTGTGCTCTTCAGTTTATCCTGAGTTTAAACACACGAGGCGGTGGTCAGTCTCTCATGGTTTTTGCTGTGGCTGCAGGGCATTCAGTGTGTGCGGGGCGGTGGTTTCCGCCCCACTCCTTGATGCATACTAGAATGTTCCTAGTCTGCTGTTACTGTGCAGCACTGACTATACCTGTACATATACCTTTGTGTACATGTTTAAGTAATGTAATGTTTTAATTTTATTTACTGACTTTAGAGAGAGAACGGGGATGGGGGGGGGGAGAGAGAGAGAAAGAGAGAGAGAGAGAGAGAGAGAGAGACACTGATTTGTTATTCCATTTACTCGTGCATTCCTTGGTTGATTTGTATGTGCCCTGACTCGGGATCAAATCCGCAACATCGGCGTAGCAGGATGACTCTCTAACCATCTGACTTCCCGGCCCAGGCCTCAAGTAATGTCTTTTTTAGAGATGAGCTCTGAATCCCACAACGTCACTCTATCTCTTAGACTGTTCCATCTGTCATTCCCACCTCTCCTCTCCTTTTCCAGATAGGTAATGTCTCTCTTCCCGCTTGCTGGCTTGTCCCCTCTAGCCACTTCTCTTCTCTCCCAAGCCCTCGCAAAAGTTTCTGCACAGTCTGTCACTGACCTGCCTCGCTCGGTGCCTCTTCCCGCTGTATCTGCTTCACACACACACTCGCCATTCTTACTGGAGCACTGCTGTCCCCTAGTTTTCCTCCCTACGTCTCAGTCCGCTGTGGCGCTGATGACTGACTACCCTCCTGAACGTGCTTAAATTAAAGTGTGCTTTGCTTCTGCTCCTGCTTTCTCTGTTTGCATTTCCTTTGCGGCCTCATCAACCTGCAGTCTTAACTTAGTATTTCATTGCGGTCTGTCCTGGATTCTGTTACCGCGTAACATGCCGCGAGCTTCATCCACATCAGGGTTTTTATCGCCACCTAATGTAACTGCTAATCTGTGTACCGCTCCACCTCTAACTGGCTCCAGATTTGACTGTACAACTGCCTGCACCTCACACTCAATAGACACAAGACTGAGCTCCCAGTGTCTCCCAGCACAGCCCGCTCCACCCCTGTCTGCACTTCTCTGCTCTTTGTCCTGGTTGCTGGTCTAAGCCAGATACCTCCCTCTTTACTCCTCACTCACCGTGCTCTGCCTGGAATAAACTTCCTTTTTTCCTTCTCTCCTCTCACTCCATTCCAGGCAGAACTGATCCCTCTCCTCTCTGCTTCTGCATACATTTCCCATGGCCCCCTTGTCCGTAACAGGCCTTCTGCGGTGCAGTGTGTGTTCGTTTCCAGGTCTTTCGCCTTCGTGAAGCTTTAAAAAACAAGGACTATTTGTTCTCATCCCACAACGCGCGCGTGGTCTGGCGCACACAGTAAATGCTCAGGAATGCCTGTGGAGCGGACAGTGACACGTTTCCCCAAAATAGAGACCAATCTTAATTTTAATCTAAGGGAAGATAGATAATTTGTAAGAAGTGCAAAATTATGGAACAGAACTTAGATCTACATTTTACCAAAAGAATCAACTTCTATTCGCTGTTTCTATTTTTCTTAATTTGTCAGTATAACTTTTTCTATTCTAACAGGTGAAAAACCTTTCGAATGTCCAAACTGTCATGAACGTTTTGCTAGAAATAGCACCCTCAAATGTCACCTGACCGCGTGCCAAACTGGAGTGGGGGCAAAAAAGGGAAGAAAGAAGCTTTACGAGTGTCAGGTACGTGCCGGTGAGTCCCATCCGCAGCAGAGTCTGTGTTTGAAGTTGGTGAGGCCGAGAGCGGACGGTGCGGAAGGACGTGAGAGTCAGGAACATCATTGTCCTACTTTTTATGAGGGGGTTACATTAGTGATTTCTACCGAACCCTGGATGGCACCGCTGCCCACAAGCTGTGTTCTAACTAGCAAGTTGTCTGAAACAGGAGTGGGCCAGGCAGAGCCGTGCCATCATGGGTTTTCCTCTGGTTAATGTGTATTTACAGCAAAAATGCATTGCTCTAAATGTCTTTGTTACTTTGTATTCTTAGGATTTATATGACATTTAAACAATGAAAGCACAATCAAAATGTTTCCCAAAATGTATTTAATTTGTTAGCTACATCAGCTAAAAGACCAGATAAAAGAATTATGAAGTCCCTTGGACCATATATTACAAATAACATATTCAGAAAGATATTTTAATGCTTTCCTTACAGAGAATAAGTGAACCCATATTCTCTGTAGTGTGAATAGAAAGATTGTTAACACCAGATGTTTGGTTATTTCAGGTCTGTAACAGTGTGTTTAACAGCTGGGACCAGTTCAAAGATCACTTGGTAATACACACTGGAGATAAGCCCAACCATTGTACTTTATGTGACTTGTGGTTCATGCAAGGAAATGAATTAAGACGGCATCTCAGCGATACTCACAATATCACGGAGCGTCTGGTAACCGAGGAAGTTCTTTCCGTGGAAACGCGAGTACAGACAGAGCCCGTGACGTCCATGACGATCATAGAACAGGTGGGGAAGGTGCATGTGCTGCCGCTGCTGCAGGTCCAGGTGGACTCCGCCCAGGTGACCGTGGAGCAGGTCCACCCGGATCTGCTCCAGGACGGCCAGGTGCACGACTCCCACATGACGGAGCTGCCGGAGCAGGTGCAGGTGAGCTACCTAGAAGTGGGTCGGATTCAGACGGAAGAAGGAACTGAAGTCCACGTGGAGGAGCTGCATGTGGAGCGGCTCAACCAGGTGCCCCTGGAGGTCCACACTGAGCTGCTCCAGGCGGACTTGGATCAAGTGTCCCCCGACATCATGAAGCCGGAGGAGCGGGAGCCTAGCCAGGAAGATGAAGCCGAGGCGGCCGCGGAAGACCAGGGCGATGCCGAGGATTCAGAGACCAAACCAACAGAGGAAGATTCCCCCTCAGAAAGCGCAGGCACAGAACAGAATGCCGAGGCCAGTTTTACGATGAAATAACGAACGTATTTTTAAATGTACGTGTTGGGCTTTTGAACTGTTGATGTGGGGCAGTATGACTGTCCTTGAGCTGACAGACAAGTGGACCAAAGTTCAACTCTTCCTTGTGCTCAACTCTCTGTATTGAAACGAACAGATTTCCCTCCCACGTAATGCCCAGAGGAGGGACGTTGCCCATGGCGGATGGGAAGTTTTGGGAACCATATTTCTGGAAACTTTAAATGGATTATATTCTTATACATAGTTGGGTACGAACGGATCTATTTTCATTGTGGCGAGGGCCCTCCCTTCTCTTTCCCAGGTTGTGTTCTTCCTCGTAGAGTCAAACAGAATCATTAGAATACAAGTGGGTATTCTGATGCATGCTAGAAAAACGAATCCATAGGAAACGGGCCGCATGAGGAAAAGTGCGTTGTTACTGTGCAGTTACGTCGTGGCTTCTGGCTTTCTTTAGTTTGAACGCGTTCTTGTCTATCCGATAGTCCCATCTCTGCAGCAGAAATGTCCAGGATGTAAAAAAGATCAACACCCACGTGCCTTTCTAAACCAACCGAACTTCTCTAACCAACCGAGCACCTCTGGTTCTCTCAGAGTTGGTGTTGTGAGGAGCGATGTAGATGATGCTCTGTAGGACTTTTTGTTTCTAGTGACAACTACCGGTTCTTTTCCACGTAAGTTAGGTTGAGAAATTTCATTTAATGGCAGCTGAAGGGCCAATTTCAATTGGGAAAATTTCTTTATATCTGTGGTAACCTTTATTTTGAAGAAAAATTGCACTAGTATTTTACCACCAGATTAAAAAAGATGAGCATCATTTAAAAATTAATGTATTTAAAATAAAGTACAGAGGAAAACATGTATATAATATATCAGGCTTTGTTTTGAATGAATCTTTCCCCCGATCCTTAATGTAAAGATCTTGTGCTATAACTTTTAAAGCCATACAAATAAGAGTGCTAAACTGTGGACTTCGAAGTAGGTGTGTAAATATTTTTAATCAGTATTACTTGGAAAATAAAATATAACAACCACATAAACCAATATGCTATTTTCTTTACCTGTTAAATATTGGGAGATATTTACATTTTTAAAGTAAACTTTAAAATTAAGTGTTCGTGACTCTTTATTTTTTTAATTACCAGTGTGGAAGTTGGTTTGTGGTCAGAGATGTTTTCTCATCTGTATTAACATGACTTTATGTACCAATATTAACATGATTGACACATGAATTGAGATATAAAAGTCTCGGACACACCTCCAATCCTCAAAAACCAGTTTAAAAGAAAGGAAGGAGGAAGAGGTTGATATTTGCAGTTAGTAGACAATGGGCACAAAATTCAGGTTCTGTTCTGTTTGGCATTTTTATTTTTTCTTTGAAGTCAGGAAATACTGATGAAATAAATTGAAATCACATTGAATTTTCAATTTGTCTAAGAATGTCCATGTTTCTGAGTTAATTGTAGTTTTGAAAAAATCCCAGACAAATAATGGTCTCAAGTACGCACATTCCTAGTGAATTTTGTAAACTGAAAATAGCCCAGGTTGTGCCCTTAAGCCAAGGTATGAAACAAGGTTTATTTTTAAACACTTTCAAGAGTTCTGACCACAAGGTGGAGATCAGGGATAGAAGCCCAACAAAGTTAGAATTACGATTTGCGTTTTCAGATTTGCCAAGGTCTCTTAAGGTGGATTTGAGGGGAAGGTACAGTTCCTTTTACTTTTCCAAGAAGCTATGTCAGTGTTCTCTAGATACCAGCAACTTGGCTTAACCTCTGTAACAACCTAATGTTGCTTTGCAGTTTGCAAAGCATTTTTACATATGACACAGCTCCTAACGCTTCCCGGTACTGAACTGGGTATTTCGTTCCTCCCACCTGACGCCTGCTAAGGTTTTCGGCTGGGTCTGCAGTGTACCAGCCACTGGTCACCACGGGAGACCCAAGGGGCCTCTTCCCTCTCCCATCCTCCACTCTTCCAACAGCAGTTCTTCGATGCTCTGCTCACACCAATTGGGTGTCCATCAATTCATTCAGACACTACTGAGCAGAGACTCCCCAGGCTGGGATCACAGGCCTGCCCCACTTCAGACACCAACACAGCCACACTTCACTGGCCAACTACAAATGGAGGACTTTCTCAGACTCGGTCACTCACTAGAATGACTCCGGAAAGCACGGACAACAATAGTTTTATTATAAAGGCTAGGACCTAGGAACAGCCAAACGGAAGAGGTGCGCAGGGTGGGGAGCAGTGAGGGGGAGGTGGACAGAGCTTCCTGGCGCCTCACCCTCCCAGCAGGTGTTCAACCGGAAGCTCCCTCGACCTTGTTCGCCAGAGGTCTATCACGTGAACACGACGGATTAACCATGGCCCAGCATTTATTGAGCCATCCTGCCTCTTGTCCTTCCCAGGGATCTTAAGGGTGAGGCTGATGGATCTAGCCCTCTAATGTGGGGGCAACCGAGACCAAGAGTCCCCTTGTTAGCATAAGCTCAGGTTTGGGGTAAAGGGGCTTGTTATGAATATAATTGAGAAAATTCCTAGGGTTTTAGGAGCTCAGTGCCAGAAACCAGGGACCACGACCAAATTTTTATTTTATTTATTTTTGGTTTCAGAGAGGAAGGAAGTGGGAGAGACAATCATTGATTGGCTGCCTTCTGCATACTTCCTACTGAGGATCAAGTCCGTAACCCAGCCATGGGGCCTTGACCAGAATTGAACCCAGGACCCTTCAGTCGCAAGCTGATGATCTGCCCATTGAGCCAAACCGGCTGGGGCCCAAATATTTTTTTATTACACCACCCCTACCAAGTGAGATTCAAAGGAAAAGTAAACTGAACTCTAATCTAGCAATCTTAGTATGTATAAAACCAGAAGGCTCTTATAGTCTGACTAGTTTAGAAAGGCTGCCATCCTATATTAGGGGGAATATTTTTTTTTAATACATTTTTATTGGTTTTAGAAAGGAAGAGAGAGAAATATCAATGATGAGAAGTAATCATTGATCAGCTGCCTCCTGCACGTCCCCTACTAGGGATCAAGCCCGCAACCCGGTATGTGCCCTTGACCAGAATCGAACCTGGGGACCCTTCAGTCTGCAGGCTGACGACGATCTATCCACTGAGCCAAACCAGCTAGGGCTGAAGCAGGAATATTTTTATGGTGATGGCAATGCCCACACCACATTCAATCTGGAAGTTAAGATTTCAGGATTAAAAGGGTCTGTGAGGGTCTAGACTAATTGTCCACTTTATACTTTAAGTCAACAGTAGAGTCTGAGGCTAAATGCAGATAAAAGTCAACCAGGAAATCAAGTGGATTTTATTTTTAATTTCTTTATTGATTAAGGTATCACATATTTGTCCTTAACCCCCATTCCAATCCCCCACCTCACCCCCTCATGCCCCTACCCCCCTATTGCCCTTGACCACTGGTTAGGCTCATATGTATGCACGTAAGTCCCTTGGTTGATCTCTCCCTTTTATCTCCACCTTCCCTCTGAGGTCCAACATTCTGACCCATGGCTCCTTATCTCTGGGTCTGTTCTTGTTCATCAGTCTATGTTATTCACCATTTCCCCTAGATGAGTGAGATCATGCCCTACTGGAAGTACAAGAATCAAAAATGAGACAAGCAATAATGGTTATGCTGAAAGGCATATGAATCAGTCTGTAGTGAGTTTCTTTCTGGACCAACAGTTCTTTTGAGACCCAATTTCAATGTCAAACAGTTCCTTATGTGTACCTGTCAGCAATGATATTTCAATTCTGGATGGTGGGCAAATGGTGGTAATGCAGGCCCAACCCTCTCTGGTTTGGTCCTGGGCAACCTGCAGTGTCAAGTGGATTTTAATGCATATCTTCAGTTTAATAGTGTTGATTGTTCTAAACAAATGACCAGACAGACGTGGTGTTCACATGGAAATAGTGTTTTATTACTGTCACAGCAAAAATTGCAAGAAAATGCCTGACCTTAAAAGTCAGGCTGAATCTGTGAGAGAAAAAGTAATAGCTTTGCCGTCATGAGGGTAACACTGACTTCCATGCTGTGACATCAGGAGATGGGGACGTAGGCAGCCTGTTTTTCCTGTGTGATGTGCCGAGCTGTGCTGCAGTGCCGACAGAACTTGTTACAAAAAATTCAGATGAGCCGGGACCGGTTTGGCTCAATAGATAGAGCGTCGGCTTGGGGACTGAGGGGTCCCGGGTTCGATTCCGGTCAAGGGCATGTACCTTGGTTGCGGGCATATCCCCAGAAGGGGGTGTGCAAGAGGCAGCTGATCGATGACTCTCTTATCGATGTTTCTAACTCTCTATTTCTCTCCCTTCCTCTCTCTATAAAATCAATAAAATATATTTTTTAAAAAAAATCAGATGAGAAGCAGCACGAATCAAAACTACCAAAACCTCACAAGCACCACTTCGTGGGACCCTTTATAATTGGTGGCCTGAAGTACGTGGCTTTAAACAGTAAATGTGAGGCCGACATTGTTCATCATAAATGCATTCTGACTTTACAGGGCGCCTGAAAACTGTCCCCTGTCCTATAAGCGTTACTTCATTCATTGTGTTGACACACTAAGTAGAAAGGCAGCCTGTGAATTCCGTGTGTTTTTTTTTTCTCCCGAACTTTGCCGTAACCTAATATAAAATGCTTCTTTAAATGAAGCAAGGCCCATCCGCCTTGATAATTGTACTAGGAGATAGCCTAAGTTTTCACTGTAACATAATAGCATCATTTGTGAGTCACTTATTCTATGTCAAGCGCATTACAGTTAATGGCCTCAATGAGCTCGTGAGGTAGATGTAAAAGGAGGAACCTGAGGGAATGGGGAGGTGAGAAATGGCTAAGGAATAGTAGGGCCAATGTTGGAAACTAGGGAGCTAGCTCAGCTGACTCCTCTTGTTGAAATGCACTCTCCCCCATCCCCACCCCACCTCTCTGTGAGATCCGAGCCTAACACACCTGCTCTCCTCTGGGAATCCACACCGGCCCTTGAT